GGGCTTCTCACCGAGCTCGCCTTCAGCGCTTTCAGGCCTAAATGTCTCTGGGGCCGCCGGCCGGGCCCGCCTTTGTTTTACATGGAGGGATGGCCGGGCAGTGAAGAGAAAGGGAATTATTGAAGGAAATGAAGCTGTTTTGAGCTGGCAGTTCCTTTCTTGCTTGCCGGTTGGTGTATCGGAACCAGCTCTATTTGTGTTGCCCCTCAGCTGGTCTGATGGGCAGGCAGGAATGAAGGAGGAGGTTCAGGATGCGGGACAGAAACCGGTAGGAAACCACGAGTTATTAACTTCAGAAATCGTAGAACAACTTGCTTTCTAAAAAGTAAGTTTTTTCCTGGAAGTGGATTTTGCCCCTGTGAGATGTTTTTATGTATAGTGTTTACTCAGAGCACTTTGGTGCTGGTTCAGTCACCGCGATTGAACATTAACGTCTATTTCTGAAGCTGGGGCATCTCTGGAGCCCAGGCACTACGTCTAACATCATCTGACAGTGTTGTGTAACTAAACAGTGCAACCGCCGTTTATAATGCCAGATAGTTTTAGGTGGACATCATAAATCGATTGTGGTCTAGTTGCTAAGCTTGCTACCCCTATTAAAACAAAATAATAATAACTTCTTTTAGGAATAATAGGAAATGATTCTTTTTCATTCTGAAGCGGGTGGGAGTCCCTTGCATTTAAGCATAAATCCTTCTAAGCCTTTCATGTCAGAATGAGTTTAACAATAATTTGAAATGGGGGAGTACATGCTCTATAGGAAAATTGTGCTTGTTTGTATTTCAAACAATTTCACTATTACTCTCAAATCCTTTTTGTCGATTCCTTGAGGGTAGCAGTAAGGTCTAACTACCTCACTCCTAACATGCCAGCTCCTATAAAAGAAACTATCTTGCCTTTCCCCATTTATCTCCACGTATGCAATTAGCTGGGTTGACTCCTGAGGGGAGATAAGAATTCCCTGAACTTGTCCTGTACAAGAACTGAACAAGTTATTGTTGATATGATAAATTAGGCTAATAATCTCTTCAGCAATGATAAGTGTGTTAAATGTAAAGTAGTTGACTTGAAACTTCACCAGAAAAGGAACTGTACGTACGGAATTAGTTGAGTCTTCTCTGGTTTAGCTGGTTAAAGAGCAATTCATGCTGGAAAAGTGTACCCTGCCAACAAGGAGAGGTCTGTTGTAACTGATCCTCTGTAAATATACGTGTCATGAATAACATGATTCAGTGTCTCCTGTGTAATATTTTACTTATGAGTAATTTGACACAAGCAGTTGGTTGAATACTTCTACCATCTGTAACTTTGCAGTGAACCTGGGAGCTCTGTGGGAGCGCTTAATAGAAGTATTCTTACTTTTATAAAATAAAAAATTAAAAAATAGTTTGGCATGCCAAAATACAAGGCAAGTATGGTTCCCCTACTTAAATGGCGATGTGTACTCAACATCTAAAATGTGTTCTTCATTTTTAAGGTGCCAAACATGAATAGTTTGCTCTTTGCTATTTTTTTTTTTTAGGTTTAAAAAGCCATTGGCTATTTATAAACTCCCTCTGCATCTTTTTTTACCTTCCTTTGGACAGAGAAGGGGGATGATGAGTCCTGCATGTGATTTTAGTGCTCACCTTGTTTTTTATGTAGTTCTGCAAAGTCATCCTAGCACTGGAGAAATTAGGAATTTGCCTGAGGGTGGTCTGTTACCTAGCACTGTGGCTGACTGACTTTGTTATAATAATTTGCTGCCAACAATTTGCTTTCCTACAGGAGCACATGCAGTTAGATTGTCCTTTATTCAGCTTTGTTTTTTAAGCTGTGGCTCAGTAGTTTCATTTGAGTTAACATAAAGTTGGAAAACTTTTTCTGTGTCTCTGAATTCAATAAAAATGAGGACCTGGGAAGAGATGTTAGGACCTTGTGTCCTGACTAAGGAGACATCACACCATGTTCTTATTTTTTGTTGGCAAAATATGCAATGGTGAAAGATTAAAAACTTTTAACTGCAAGAAAAGCCTTACTGAGAACTTCTTTCTCTGTAAATTCTGTGGGACCTCAGCAAATTCTGTGGGAGAAAGAGTTTGATGATGGAGAAAATACTAATCACGTATGATTCTAAAAGACATGATAAATCCACAGAGGGAGGGAGGATGTGTCCCTGAAGTTCTGAGTCTTGAAAATACTCATGCTGAATTTTTCAGGGACACTTTAGTGTGTAGTGTGCTAATCTAGAAATCATGTGCTTTCAAGTTTTAATTCCTGTCCCACTCAAGACTTCTCTTTTGGTGTTGCCAAAGTACAGGATTGTGTATTTCTGCTTATGAATTCTAAAAAGTCTGTGGTGTGAAATATGCGCTGTTCATCATATGATTTCTTGTCTGTAAAGTAAATGCCTTGCAATAATTTTCTTTTAGTGCTAAAGTATCACAACAGAAGTTAAGTTGTGCTTAATATTGGCTGTTTCTCATCCTTTTCTCAGATTCCACGGGAATGGAGATGCTTCAGAAAAATATTTCTTCTAAAAGTGAGAATGAAACGCTAACTAGATCCCAAAATTTGACAGAAAGCTCACAGAGTATAACCCCAACAAAAAAAGAGGCATTCCCAACAACAGCTAAAATCAATTCAGTGACTGCAGTAAAACCATCTGTAGCAAAAGATGATTCTCCACAGGACGTTCTCTCTCCTGCTGTAACAGCAAGTCCAGTATCTCAAATGGATGTTGATGCTTCTGAAGATACTAAAATTGAAGAAGAGGATCTTCTAACAGGTTTGAAGGACACACTAAATAGTTCACCACCCCTCATAAAAGAAACTATGGACTCAGATGGAGGAGATGACTATGGTCCTTATGAAATGACATCGAATTCCAGATACAACCCAGACCTCGAGATGCCAGAAGATGACGACTCTGACACCATTAGTAATTACAACGAGGAGATTAAGACCCTGGATGAGAAGATAAAAGATGTTTCTGTCACAGGGTTGGAGGAAGAAGAGGAAGACAGCCATTTCTTTTTTCATCTGGTTGTAGTTGCCTTCTTAGTAGCTGTTGTTTATGTCACCTATCACAATAAGAGGAAGGTGGGTGAGCTGTGAAAGGTTGAGGAAAACAGCTTTAGTAGTTAAAATGCAGTTGTGTTTCCTTGTATGCTCTTTCTTAATAAGAGGAAGTTTTTGGAGAATGAAATCTTTGACCTTTAGTCTTGTTGTGACACTGATATGCAGGTCATTACTGTCATTTTTTATCTGCACAGTCAAAATGAAGTTGAATCAAACATTTTCGATTAGAAAATCAGTTAATTGATGACATCAGTAATCAATTCAGTAACGGACACTGGCAGTGTATGACGAGTTCTATAAATGAGACCTGAGCCAAGTCGAGTGAAGGGGATTGATTAATTTTGTCTCTGCACAGGATTATAACCAGCAAATTAAGAAAGGTTTAATCCCAAATGGCGTGGGAATGTTCTTGTTGTAACTCTGATAATCCTTGTAATGAGTATTCACTTTAAGGTGGTCTTGATATCATAGATATTCTTGAGATCCTAACTACAGACATGTAGAAAATTATTTAACACTCTTTCCAGTTTTACATAGAGAAGCTCAAAGTGTTTTCAGGTAACTGTTTCTTCAGTACAAGCTAATTCTCTGTATCTCAAAAGTAGCCTGAGAAGTGTTATTGGCCAGAGCCAGTCTACTGCCAGTAGAGTTTCCCTGTCTAGTAAAGTGGATTCTTAGATGCTGTCTGTAAGAAACAAGGCTAAATAGGGTGAAGATAATAGACATTTAAAAACCTGATCACTGGAGTGCTTTGATTTATCATGTAGCCTCTTTAACTGCTCTGCTGATACCGCTGAAGGGGGCACTGGGCTGTAATGCAGGAACAATTTATCAAATTACCCCGTTGCTGCTTCTGTTGCCTTTGTTTCAGCACCAGTGATACAATTGTTTTTAACAAGGGTGAAATGCCGGACTAGGTAAGATAAATAAAGCAGCAAATGTCTCTGCCTGGGGACAGTTTAATAGCCTGGATGTGCCATACTTCTGAACCTGCACACCTATCTTTGCTGAAAGAACTATGGGTTGGACACTGTTTTCTTGCCAAACTGCAGCTTAGGTTGCCACTGAGTGACTTGGTGGCAAGGACAGTGTGGAAATGGCTGACTGCTTTATAGCCACAGCAATGCCAGGGTGGAGCTCTGATATCACTAGAACTCTTAAACTTTCTATCAAAACCAAAATATTTCTGCGTAGCATTAAGTAATTTGGCTGTTTTTTTTTTTCTTTCAGATCTTCCTATTGGTCCAGAGCCGAAGATGGAGGGACGGCCTGTGCTCTAGGACAGTAGAATATCATCGTTTAGATCAAAATGTTAACGAAGCAATGCCTTCCCTGAAAATAACCAATGACTACGTATTTTGAAAGCACTGTGATTTGAGTTTGCTGAACTTATCACTCTTTGCCTACATAGTCATGTAATGATATTCAGGTATTCTAAATGTGCTGCTTGTACTGAAATGAGATGTTCTCTCTTTGACTTGAATGTTTTTGAGATTAAATCTCATGGAATATCAAGGGCATGATACATCTGTTTGCTACTTTGGCCAGGTTTTATATCAACTGTAAAGGTACAGAGTTTAATAATTAGTGCTCTTTCCATTCATTAAGCGTCATCCCTTCTGTCTCGAGCAGTCTTAATAGCAGTAATACAAAAAATAAGCATAAAATATTTTAGGTCTAATAAATTAATGACTTTGGCATCACTAAATCAAATTAATGATCTCTTTGCTAATCACTTATATGGCTCATAAATCCCACTATATTGCAAACTTAAAATATAATTACTTTTTCTTATGCTTAAATCCTGATGCCGGAAATCTTTCATCTTGGTTTTTTTTTTTTTTTTTTTTGGATTCTGTTTTCTTTTTGCATAATTTGATCCTTTTTTAGGCAGAATAGCTGGCATGGCAATTACATAATGTCCGCATGTGTTCATGCAGTAAATAATTTAAAAATAATTATGTCTAACCCATTTTATTTCAGAAATTATATACCATATATTTCTTTAAAATGTTCAAGATCTTTGGGAAGGTGTGCAGCTTCTTGGCTGTGCAGGTTTTTTTTTTCTCTAATGGCATTTATGACTTTCATTATCTTTGTAATTAATGAATGGAAAACAAGCCTCATTGAATAATCTCACTAAAATATAGATAGTTGACAGGCTTTCAGTACATCAAAGCTGTCGGTTGAATTTTAAGACAGTTGGGAAACAGTTTTGCGGTTTGCTATGTTATTGGGAGAGGCCTGAAAATGTAAGAATAATTTATTTTGTTGTTATTCTGAGCCGGGTAACAGGCAGCTGAAGGTGATGGTGTGTGGGGCTGCTGGTCTGTGGGCAGAGCACTCTTGATTTACACTAATGCATAAATGTTTGTCAGAAATGAAGTTACTGGTACAGTAGGGTTTTGGTTTGGTTTTATTTTTTTTTTACCTTGTCTTTTGTACTTTCATTATTTATGTTTTCATGAGTTGTAAAATATAAAATATTAGTTTTCTGTACATTCTGTTTGTGATTTAGTTTTCAAACTGATAAATATGTAAATAATTGTGGATCAGAACCCCATAATTAATGACTTGGTATTCAAGTAGTTGCATAACATTTTGAAAAAAAATCAACTTTACAGCTGCTGGCATGAGGAGTTTGAAGGCATGATACTATCTTAAGAATGAAGTGCTAAAAATTCTAAATCCTATTGTTAAATGCATTCTTTTCATAACCACACACAGTAAAGCACAAACAAAATATCCCAAACCCCTTTTCTTGCAGTAATTTTTATCGTATTTGGACTTGTATCACTTAATATTTTGAATAAGGTTTTTAAAATAAATGATGATAATAAGCTTGTGGTTTTTATCTTAACTATTTCACTGTTTTTATGCAGAACCTGACGATAAAGAGCTTGCTTACACTTGGGATTGGATAATCAGTTTAAAACCATCTTTTCTGTCCCTGCTTAAATTCACTATTTATAGGGTGTTTGGAGTTTTGTTTTATCCATATGTTAAATGGTATGTAGGGTAGTTAGCAAGGCTTAAATGAAATCTTTTCATCTGTAGCAATTAATAAGTTCTGTAACAAGTAATTTTTTAAACTTAAATTGTATAATTAATAATTCTTACGGAAGATACTTGAAACTCTTACTTGTATGTACCCAGATTAAAGCATCACACTGCTGGGGTCGGGATCCAAAGGGAAAAGTTACTTTGCAAAGCTCCTTTGGGGTGTTTAAATGTTGGAATTGGAGGAGGTGGCTGGTATTTTTCCCTCCAAGAAATTCTGTAGCTTTCTTCTTAAATAACATTCATAAAGCAGAGTGATTTGGGCAGCAGAGAATAGTCTGTTCAGACTCAGCAGAACTCATGTTTCCTTTCACCTTGGTACCTTACACAGAGCCCTGGGTGAGGGACTGAAGTGCCCACCAGCACAGAGCTACAATGATATCCACCTTAAAAATTTCATTTCAAATGTTATTTTCTCTTCAACCCATCCAGTGAATGAGGCCGTCTAGGTAGATGGTACATTTTTGGCCCCTTGACTGACTGTAACAGCTAGAATTCTGTTTAAAAAAAATACAGGAAATTCACATCGACCTAAATTAGCAGAAATAAGGCGTATTTGTTGATTTCTGGCGTTCGTAGATCTGTTACCTTATTCCAGCTTGGATGTCTTCCAAAGCTCTGGCTGAGGCAATCCAATCTAAATGTTTTTTTCTTTCTGAATAACAATCTCCTCTTTAAGACCATACATTAATATATTGGTGGTATAAAATGGAGTGATTTGGGCAGTAGAGAATAGTCTGTTCAGACTCACCAGAACTTGTGTTTCCTTTCAGCTTGGTACCTTACACAAACCCCTGGGTGAGGGACTGAAGTGCCCACCATTGCAGAGCTACAGTGATATCCACCTTAAAAATTTCATTTCAAATGTTATTTTCTCTCCAACCCATCCAGTGAATGAGGCCATCGAGGTAGATGGTACATTTTTGGCCCCTTGACTGACTGTAACAGCTAGAATTCTGTTTAAAAAAAATACAGGAAATTCACATCGACCTAAATTAGCAGAAATAAGGCGTATTTGTTGATTTCTGGCGTTCATAGATCTGTTCATAGACCTTATTCCAGCTTGGATGTCTTCCAAAGCTCTGAGCTCTGGCTGAGGCAATCCAATCTAAATGTTTTTTTCTTTCTGAATAACAATCTCCTCTTTAAGACCATACATTAATATATTGGTGGAAAAATTTCGCATTTCCTTGCCCTCTCTCCCTCAAATTGTTTCTCCTTCTGAAAAGACCGTCCGTAGGGAGAGAAATTCATTAGTTTTCCAGCTCTTGAGCTGTTCCTCCCAACAAACCCGCTCTTTTAAAACCCTGTAACTTCTGCCAGAGGAGGAACGCGCGCAGCTGAGGGCGAGGCTGCTTTTTGGGAGCTTTTTAGGGAAAACTGTCAAAGGTCTAACAAGCTGCCCGGAGGAAAGAGACCTGGGGGTTCTAGTTGACAAACGGCTGAATATGAGCCGGCCTGTGCCCAGGTGGCCAAGAAAGCCCATGGCATCCTGGCTTGGATCAAAAATAGTGTGACCAGCAGAAGTAGGGAGGTGATTGTGCCCCTGTACTCGGCACTGGTGAGGCCACACCTCGAGGGTTGTGTCCAGTTTTGGGCACCTCAATACAAGAGAGATCTGGAGGTGCTGGAGCGAGTGCAGAGGAGGGCAACGAAACTAGTGAAGGGCCTGGAAGACAAATCATATGAAGAGCGGCTGAAGGAGCTGGGGCTGTTTAGTGTGAGGAAGAGGAGGCTGAGGGGAGACCTCATCCCTCTCTACAACTACTTGAAAGGACACTGTAGAGAGGGTGGTGCTGGTCTCTTCTCACAGGTAATGGGTGACAGAACGAGAGGGAACGGCTTCAAGCTCCAACAGGGGAGGGTTAGATTGAACATTAGGAAGGAATTCTTCACAGAGAGAGTGGTCGGGCATTGGAACAGGCTGCCCAGGGAGGGGGTGGAGTCCCCATCCCTGGCTGTGTTTAAGGGCCGTTTAGATGCAGTGCTGAGGGACATGGTGTAGGGGAGGACTTTGTAGAGTAGGGCAGATGGTTGGACTCGATGATCCCAAGGGTCTCTTCCAACCTCAACCTCTATGATTCTATGATTCTATGACTCGGTCGCTGAACCTGCGTCTTTGCAGCGTATTTGGCAGTCGTGGCATTTTAAAACGCTGCGCTGAACCTGCGTCTTTGCAGCTTATTTGGCAGTCGTGGCATTTTAAAACGCTGTTCCGTGACAATACTTGTCCCCCAGATTTAGTATTCATGAGGTGCACCGACGAGTATTTAGGCCTAATGGGCTGCAACTGGCTTTGGCTGCACTGCAAATGGGAATAAATTCTCTTCCCAAGCGTCCATTTAGCTGTCTGCTCCGAAGATGCTCTTGCATGAGGTTGCCTTAGAGGAGAAAAATCATATCCTGAGCCTTTTGCTCTCGATATTCGTATCGGTAGTGAAATAAATGGGGTTGGGGAACTGGTATTTGGGGTCATGGAATCATGGCTTGGGCGCATTTCTCCTCTAGCAGAGCACAGCTTTGCCTCACTCCAAGCACTTAGGATGAGCAGTTATTATTTGCTTGCTCTAGCTCTCGTGCAAAACCTTCTCTATCTCACAAGTAAGTAAAAAAGTCTTTTAAATATTTACACAAATAATTTTCTAATAGGCCTCTTGAATTTGAAAATTTCAATTTGAAATCCTTGAAATTCTTTAATTCGATTATTTGGGGAATTGTCCAAACGGCTTCGCTTCCAGGATGGTAAAGTGTTTGGGGTGAATCTTGCCCCATCAGGTTGACTTTTTCCCCCCCCCAAGGAAATTTTTTCATCCTCAGTAGCCCTTGGATTGTTGCCCAAACAGGGAAAATGCCGTTGCTGAATTGAGCTGGGGAGTTGATAACGCTCTTTCCTAACAAAGCCAATAAAAAGGGAAAGGTTTCTCGTGATCTGGTTTTATAAAGGCTCCACCAGCACCCAGAGAGTGGGGCATGTGTCATCCACTGTGCAATAAAAGAGCCATTTGCTGATGAGGTCATCAGGAGTGAACTACTGTTTTTTTAATTCCTTTAATTGAATTTGCTTGTGGGAAATTAAGAGCAGGCAATCAAGAATTCATAAAGTGCTGAGATCAAATAGAGGAAAAAGCAAGCAGATTTATGTCAGATCTTACCAACAAGAAATGTCTTGATGAATTTCTTTACTGAAGAAAGGAAACTTAAGGTGAATTATGGTTTCCATCAATATTCTGATAAAAGGAATAAAATATTCCTGAAGAGCTTTCTGATTAAACTTCTCAAGATGAAAGTTGAAGCTCTATTTATGTAGGTTCTCGTTAGTGGTTGGGTTTTATGAAACGAAGAAAGAAAGAATGAATAGGATACTTTAAACAAATGATACATTTCACTTTGACTATCCAGGAAATCAGGTATTTTAAAATATTTATAGTTTAATTTTCATTTAGCACCGGTGCATATTATTCAGCTAAAGTCTGTCCTTGGCTGCTGCTCGGTTGTACACAGAGTGAACAGAGAAAGCAGAGTGAACATCTGAGCAGGATGGTTTGAGTTACAGGAAATTAATTTACAACAAGGAGATGAAAAACATGATAGCTCTTAAGTGACTTTAAATGCTACAATAATAGGGAAAAGGGGTATTTCTGTGGCTCTAGTGCAGACTTCTGCTAATATGAGAAGAAGAAAGGGGATGCTCTTACAGCTCTAACTCAAGGTTGGGGAAATCTTTGCTTGGTTTCTGAACAGGAATGTGGTCACCTGGGAAGGATAAGGTCGTCCTGCTTCCAGGGGGAGGAGCTGGTCTTCCCAGGTTGAGATGCCATCAGGCAGGTGGAGGTTGCAGGTGGTGGTGGTGGTGGGATGGTCCTGAGGGTATGTCTATCAGCTGGGTTGGGTTTCTGAGAGCTCCTGACACCCCAAGAGGAGGTTCTGGCTTCTCGCCACACCACACTCCCTGGGCTTGAGAAGGTAAGTGGGTTCCTAACCCAACAAAACAAATCCTCTTTCTGTTTTTCATCTTTTTTTGTTCTTCTTGGCTTGATTTTCAGTCATTTTGGGGTTGGTTGACCAACCAACCGAGCTGGTTGACCTTACAGCCAGGGCTGTGCCAGAGCTGGGTCAAGGCAAGTGATGGGAGCACTTAGGGCAGAGATGGGAGCGTTCCCCATTCTGCAAACTGTAAATTTAGTTTCTTGTAAAGCTGTAATTAAGCCATTTCCTAAAACGTAGTTGAAACAAGAGCATTTTACATTGTAGAGTCCAGGTGAGCGACTGATCGCTGCAGTCTTGGAATAATTTGGTTTTTTGTTGCTGAGAGGCCAGGCCAGCCTGAAGATTTAAGCTTTCTTTGGGTTTGGGTTGCTTTTTGTGGTTGTTTTCTCAGAGGGATACCCCTCAGCCGGGGAGGCTCTAAGGGATGGTGCTGCCCCGTGTCCGTGATGGTGTGTGTGTGGTTCCCTGAGGCCACCACAGCTGCTTGGCCACCCACTCTGCTTTCCTGTCCCAAATCTAAACTGGAGCTGCATTTGGTGCTCCCTTAAGGCTGAGCAGCTTTATGGGGGTGCTAAATCCTCAGTGTGAGGCTGATAGAGCAGTCATCTTTGAGGCCATGGATCTCACCAAGTGGCAGAACTAATAACATCATTCTTACACCTTTTCTTCTACAACCAAATGTCCTTTAAGGAGGAGTCATCCCTAAACTGTTGGTTTTTTTAAAAAACTTTTTCTGATACAGAGCATATGAATGTCCTCACTAATAAGACATGGTTAATATCAGAACTTCTCA